CGGCAAACTGGAGATGACGCACTCAAGGTACGGCTTCAGATATGAAAGAGCCAACGGATGTTGGATGTATCGGCGGTTCAGCGCCGCTGAATGTCTACCAAGGTTATCGTGGAGTCAGAGAATCTTGATCACACTCCGTCACATCTTCTGTGATAGCAAAAAACATCAGGTATTTGCAGTGTCCAACAAGTAACTAATTTCTATGTGAAAGATGTCGATTCAAGATGTCGACCGCATTCAGGCTGTTCAGCGGGCGAGAAACAGCTGTCTTAACGACAAAAACGGTAGCATAACATCAATATTAAACGATCCTTCGCTGCCGTGCAACCGCAGTTTATCTGTCCTACTGCGAAGAAAAGAAAAAACGTAGATAGGAAAGGGACTTCGCTCTAGCTTAAAACAACCATCCCAAAGTGCCTACACCCCCAGGCACTCATTTATGAAATCCGGATAGAAACGGGCAGCAATGCCACTGGCATCCTCTAGCAGCCATATTTTGCAGTATATCCAACCATACAAAGACGATCACGCAAAGCCCATCCTGAAGGGCGAGCCAAACCGACAGTACCGAGACTTTTCGTAACCTCTTTCATACCTATCTTTCACATCAAAGGTTAGACACCATTAAACATGAGCCACTCTGAATTGGGCAAATAGCACTCTTCGGCAAACGATCGTACGGCATGCGCAATACCTTGTCTAACCAACGCAGCTTCTGGTGCTGAAATCCCCGTTGCACAACCGAAAACTCGTTTCTCAATTGTATCGGGGAATAACTGGCACACGAACAATGGTTCCGAGACAACCGTTGTTGAACATTTGAATACGTCTCAGTTCAGCTGCTTGAATAGGTTACATATCACGACGACGCAATAAAGCACAGCCAGATACGTCTCTTACGATCTAAGTACATGCCACTTTCACGCTACGGGTAACACGAATTGGAAAACCCGACCCGAGCCTTAGGGAATCGTGCATTTAACTCATCTGTCACACTGTAGTCGGAGCTTGTACAACTTCAAAAATACACAAAACGCTCCACAGCTTCGAAAGTCTCCACGTGACTTGAAAGTGACGCATTTAGTAACCGAAAGTCAGTAGAATGGACTTACAGCTCAAGGGTAAAAAGGCATGCCAGAGGACGGAAAACTTTGGTTATTTCACCAGAAACAACTACGCCTGGTGCTGCACAAAAGCAATCTCATATTTAAGAGGAGTTTTGAGGCCTTTCAGAGTTCCTTTACCTGCCTTGTGGTCGATAGTGAATGAAATTTTCCGCGGACTGTGTAAATGCACCATGAGCGGCACCGACCGCTACAAGGAGATCCCGTCCATCATTCCATTATCAGTCTATCCATGAGTTAGGCACTGGTTGAACACTTGAACACTGGAACAGATAACCGGCTCCAGATAGCTAAGTGATAGAGGTGTGGCTTGCTGACTGGAAGATTCGTGATTCGAGCCCAGCTCCAGCACCGAGTCCGAACTTGGACAACGTAACGGTATGTCAGCCCAAGTGCTTCCTTCGGGCGGCATGGCAGCTAGGCACCCAAATGGTGTTGAACGACATTCAGTGCACTTTTAACCGACTTTGCAAAAGTGAAGTGCTGTGTTCGCGGTTTAGTCGAGGCGATGAACCATGTTAAAAGTTTTTCCGTACTTCTTTTTCGAACCACATCTGTTAGCATTGCAGTTACGACCAGTACTTACTGTATACATGAGACACAATGCCAACTATGCGGCGAACCGCAAGTATGATACACTATACCACCGCTTAGACATCCCCTGATGTCCAGATTATAAACCTTTGCCCAATAAACTGGTTTGGTACGCTTAGTTCTTCAATGAAATAAAAAGTTCAAATGAAATATGAAGTAAACAGAAATTGTGGGGCGTCACCCCAGATGGAAGATTGAAGCAATCAACTGCAACTTACTTTCAAGTTGATCTTAGTTAACACGGACTCCGGGCCATCAATATCGATGTCTTCCGTCAAAACCACATGCTGTTTCTTTGAGGCAGAACGTCTGACAAATGTGCCCTGAGTACGGAACTTTAGAGGGGCAGAGTTTTCGTCACAAACATTGGGTTCATCCTGAAGATCCAAAGTCTGACTTTCGTCCGACTGACGCGCTCCGCCATTCATAAATCGTGAATATACATAAGCGTCCTTCAAGTCTCTATCGGTTAAATTCTTCCCACGCGAAGCCGTGTTAAGCACTCCATCCTGCTTGACAGAGCGTCCTTTGACTAGGGATGGCCGAAGTTTGATGCGTAGTTTAGGAATGTATGGAATGTTTCGAGCCGGTTTTGGTGGAATGATCAGCTTAGATGTGGCGTACATTTGGCGTGAGCGCTAGAAAGAAAGCCTCGACATGGGATATAGTAGGACAAGCACGGAAGTGCACTCTAAAAACACCGAGACCAAAGTTGATTTTCATATCCGAAGTAATTTTTTCGTTTGCGTTCAGCACCAAGAAAGCCTTGCTACTTTTCCTAATTCCAAAAGGGACGTAGCGCTAGCCGGAAAAGCCGACCTGGCCTGTAACGCAAAAACTCAGATATCCCGCCTTCGAACAATTAAAACATTCAGTTCACGAAACCACAGGTCAGGATCGGTTGCATTAACACACGTGTACAGCTGGAGGCGCAAAAACTTGGTTACGTATACTGTACATTCAAGTTACAGGTAAAGCTTCCTCATGTGAGAAAGAAATGGAAGGCAATACAGCTTCACTATTTGTGTTGTTCCCGAAATAGGGAGTGAAAATTAACGGATTGACGGATTCACCGGTTGACACACAGCACCAAGGCTTTCGCCCGAAATTCCCACGTCGGTTATGTTCTTATCATTCAGCGGTTGCCACTCGCTTTAACGACAAAAGCTGGAAAGTGGTGCAATATTGCTCTTTAGGTTCTCAGCGTCGGGTAGTATGCTTGCCAGCGCCATGTTTAGCATAGAAGAGATTTGAACCGGGTACCAGATGGACTGTAGACAGCCGTCGGGGGAAGGTCATTCCATGCTGCAACTACGGAAAACCAAATTTTGCCCTCAGCGGTTGCCACTCGCTTTAACGACAAAAGCTGGAAAGTGGTGCAATATTGCTCTTTAAGTTCTCAGCGTCAGGTAGTATGCTTGCCAGTGCCATGTTTAGCATAGAAGAGATTTGAACCGGGTACCAGATGGACTGTAGACAACCGTCGGGGGAAGGTCATTCCATGCTGCAACTACGGAAAACCATGAAAAATTTTGCCCGACAAAACTCTCCGATCTGAGCTTCAAAATCTCAACACGTCCTTGCCGTGTTTTCTGTTCCAACGGTGAAAATTCTGGTGACCAAGCCTTGTTCAAACAGGACATAAGCAAGTATTAGGTCCCCTCGGAGGCTATGATACTTTAAAGGAAAAAGGTCATGCACCAGGAGACGCGTTCCGTGGTCCATGGATTAAGAGCTGGCAGCCATTTTTGTGGCAGCTTGAGGGACACTCAGCGGGGGTTACATCTTTCGGGCGTCCTGAATAGACAACTTGATCGGAATATTGAAGAAGCTGTAAGAAGTGGACCTCAAGAATCATTAGAAAGTCTATGCAGGTAATAGCGGAGAAGGTGTGCCGACTCATCCGCAGAATGGAGAGTGCTTTCTGATCCGATCTGTCATTGTGCGGCGAGAACATTTTTGAAGAGGACCAGACCACCAAATCCATTTTGGCATCTATCCTCATGATGCCTCCTCGTCTATTCTCACTGTGAACGACAGAGGCGTTCGCTGAGTCCCCTCCGGATGAGATGGACACGTGTTTTGCTATTCAGAGGAAGGTATCAGTTCAACAACCACATCGTTGCAGCGTCTACGTCCATTTGGAGGACGCTGGAAGTGGAACTCCGCGATTTCACGTAGCCCGCATACGTACACGTGTAATTGCTTGAAAATCTGATAGGTCGTTGACGTATTTCTGGAACAAAAGTGGCCTCAAAACGTAGTCTTCAGGAACGCCGATGGAGACCGGCGTTGGAGAACAGTAGATGGGGCCTACTCTCACCCGGAATGATCCCTTTGATAAGAACACATCAATCCACTGTGAAAATTTTTCTTAAATTCCAGATTCACGCCTCAACATATAGAATTAGGGCTTTCGAAACAGCTTTCTGAATTTGTTTTGTTCCCGCCAAGCAGGGTTTCCTTTCATCTCCAAGATGCAAGCGAGGGCGGGTGCAGCCCTTCTCTGGCTTTCATCCACTGGTTGTATGCCTTCCAGCACGAGCACAATACATGAGGGTGTCTGAATTTGCTTTTAATTGGCTACTAGATGCAGCGTGAACTACCTCTGAACGAAAGTGTTCTTCGAACCGAGAAAAGTGTTGCCCAATTGGACTTGTTCATACACATCACAAGTGTGATTTCTCCTCGAAGGGAACGGTACAATTGGGCACTACAATGTGCAGGGCGCCGAAATAGAAGCTAGGCAAGTTTCGCTTTGAATGTCCTGTCCGACTGGAAAGCCTAGAAATAGATCCCATCGTTCCCTCGAATCCCATTACGCTCGAGGCTGCAGGGCAGTGAAACGTTCGGGATTGATCGGATGCCTCTGGGAAGTTGTAAAATAAGCATTTGATTTGACTCCTTGGTTTTGTGGTTGTCCATAAGTGCGACCATCTTCGTCATGGAGGACGGTTTGGGAGAAGTTAATGTTGCACTTTGGACATCAGGTCGTTGGGACAGGGGCTGTTTGGAGTAGCCCGCTCCAGAATGCGCTCCATAACCGTGCGAGGCACGTTATCGTGTGTAATAAAGTCGTAGCCGCCGGGCAATAGGCGGTAACCGGTTCTGTAGATTAGCGCGACGACGGCTTCCTGTCAAGCAAAGGGAAGTTCTCTACGTCGAGCGTCTATCGAAACATCTCGAAGAAGTGCTTCCTCACTGTGGGTGACATTTTCTGGAGGAATCTTGGGTGGACGTGATCTGGCTCTAATGCCCTGAAGTAGTACGTCGTGCATAAGAGTCGGTTTACATTCTTTTCCATGAAGATCAAGTTGGTTAGAGGCCATTCATAGTAAATCATTTCCAATATTGGATGAGATCAGGTCACTAGGGTAGAATTTAGTTCCGCATTGTGCTCTTTGTACGCCTCTCATATCCCCTATCATACCACTCAGTGGTCCCCCTTTCTGTCTCCCAACCAGAGGAGGGTTGGATTATTTTCGGAAGTGTTATATATACTTAGATGGTACAGTTTTGTTTTCCGGCGGGGTTTATTATCGTGTCCTGTTTTCCTATGCTCCACTGGCAGGTTTCTAATTTGCAGCACTTCCCCATTTCAAGAAGTGCCACTTCACTCTGTTTATCTCATGCGGTTATCTTTCTGATGAATAGTTGTTGCTTCGTTTCCAAAAATCTATCCATTTTTGACAGCTTTGGGTGTGTTGGTGTTTGCGCCTCATGATGTTTCGGCATTCCTGTATACATCTGCTACTTGAGCTGGTCTCAGTTTAACCTAGTCAAAGTGGAGTTTTCAAACCATGTTTGTGGTATGGGGGTCCTGGCTCAGTAGGAGAAGAAATTGATGGCCAGCAAGAATTGGTGACAACTTTCAAGTGGAACATCAGCTAACACTTGATCAACGAGGCCTTTTTCATCGGTGGAAACAAAATTCGACAGGGATGCTGTTTGTCCCGCGAAATGTCTGGTGAGTGCCACGATATTAAGAGACCGACCTGTTTGTTGAATGCCTTTGGTCAACGCCGATGCAAATTTCCACTGGCCCTGATGCGCTTGAGCTTCATCCAGAAGGCTTTGTGAACGCTAAACTCACTTACCAGCAAGGGATGCTTGAAATGGTAGCTGGAAAAGATGTGCTTAAATTTTTGTATGAGGAACGAGACGTCTTTTGCTGATTATGAGAGACACTGGTACCCCCTCCGAAAAGTAGGATTTGATTGCACTATGCATCATCAACACACGCAAAATCTCCTCGGGTAGGATATCTAGCATCGGCATGTGTACATATGACCGGTCGTTGGAACAGACATCTTCTGGTCCTCGTGTGTCCCATATCTTGCGCAGTTTTTCGCGATGCCTTTCTGTAAAGTTGACACTGAAAGACATGGTGTCCAAAAAACTTGAATACTTAGTTTTGCCACGTATTGCCATACACAAGGATCCAGCAGCCCCTCATTGGCCGGGTAGTATTCACACATCTTACGCGCCCTTGAAAAGCACAACAGAGCAGCGAAGAACAAGCGCCCGAACAACGGGGGAGACGAGCCCGCCGTACTTGCAGGAGCTTGCTTCAGAGCGCTAGATGGACCCAGCTTTCAGGCCTGCGGAGTTATTCCGAAGTGACTCCGGGTTCTGCGGTCGAGTTAGCCGTAGATACGGAGATAATGGCAACTTCCTTGTGGGTGAATATTTTAAGTCCCATTCTAATCGTGGTGAGAATGGCTGGGAGCTTTGAGTTGCTTGCCTTCGTTTACTTACCCAACATCGTTAGTATCACTGGTGGCAACACCCGATGTAAAAATTTGTGCTCTATGCATTCAGTCGGAATAACCGGGCTACGTGCAAATCTAGAGGGCCAATAGGGCAAGACTACGTCTATCTACGATGTTCATGGTTAGACGTTAGTGTGATAATACCAGAATTCTCGAGCTTGCATGGGAGGACCTAAGGAGCGTTCGAACTCCGCTTGGACAGGACGCTCATTACTATGTCGTCCACGGGCCCCGAATTCAAATTTCCTTAAAAATATTTACGTTTTCATGGGCGGAACAAATATTGAACAATTCTGGAGTGGATTACTTTTGATCAGACACCTCGACAAAAAGAGAAAGGGCAATGAAGCTCGACGGGTGAAGGTGGGTCGTGCGGAGACTTTGATGGTGGATGTCTAGTAGCCATCACACCACCAAACTTCATCTGACAAAAGACTGCATTTGGTACACGTGCGCCTTAGTAACAAGCGACTAGCAAATATCTGAGCTACACAATTGCTCAATTCTCAGAATCGGAACTGACCGATTTTGGATTGTCGTTCGATTCCCTAGCTCCAAGCTCCAGCAAGGCTAAATTCCCAGGATGTACGTACATGTGCGTCCGATTTGGAAATGACCCATAAATATCAACCATCTAAAATCTATTATTAGGCCAGGAATCCAAGTAAATCTGTGGGTATGTCTGGTGACGAGTACACATTTTATCCAAGGTAATACCAGATACAGTCCAACACGGAAACGAACGGCGCATTATTCATCGACAAACTGTACATGCGTCGTCAACTACTTGTGAATGAATGAAACTGAACTAAATAATTTACTGGTCCAATCCAGAGTGCTGAACGGCTTCCTCTAGTGTTGTCTAGTTCCATTTTTTACGTGGCAACCAACGACAATAACCAAACCGCGGACACCGGCATTGTCGAATGTGAAAGCTCTATTTTCAGTTTTGCAGACGGTAAAACAGACAGCTTTCGGGCCATTGAAAGTTTTGTTGAAATTTCATTGAAGAAGGGACCAATTTGGTAGAACCGACGATTTTTTCCGACTGTTAAGTTTCCTAAGCACTAAATCCAA